TAAGATTTAATAATTCAGGTGAGTGGATCACTGTGAGGTTACAAAGAAATTATATTCCTTTTCCTACCCTCTCATTATCAAGAGTATAGTGAAGGTTTCACCTTGTTGATGTATCAGGATACCAAAGTGCATGGGCCAGATGTTGGATGCTTTATGGAGAGCTCAGACTCAGCTTTTCCTCCCCACATTCCTGTACATCCTACATTCAGAATTCGAGACTGGTCTTAATACTTAATTTGTGGACTAGTGTTGTCTCAGTCCATCCTCAAAAAAAAATATCAAGTCCAGGGAAAAGAGAAGCCTGAGGCAAACAGAGAGATCTCCATCACAGAAATGGGCTGTGACTGGGAATGTTGATTTTTTTCACGCTGAATAGGGAACTCATCATTTAAAAAATTACCTTGTAGATGGTGATAAGGGCACCTTTCATTCCTCTGCACACAACACTCGTGCTGTGGCCCATTATGGTGGGAGCTTTTATCAGTGATTTACAGCTGAGCTGTCAAAAACTTCCAAAAGCTTCTATTAAATTGATGTGGATTTATCTATCTAAGACCTTTGAAATTTATAAAGGAGCCCAGTTTTGGCCTCCTTTTCTAATCAGAGTGTGCAGCTGCACACAGGGCAGTAAGCTCCCCAGCCTTCTAGGAGGTCAGGCATTTGTTTTGTGGCCCAGATTTGAGAATCCCTTGAGAGCTCTCTGGAGAGCAGAGCCTTTGCATGTTTGGAAAGCAGTCCCTGGTGTCTTTTATGGGGACAGCAGCATTATTTGTCTGCACCAAAGTGGGCTGGGGTGGCACTGGGAGCACAAAAGCCCTGCTAAAAACTGCCCTGCAGCACATCTGTGTGTGTTTGATTACAGGGCTTCCAAATGTGTCCTGACATTAAAAACTGAGATGCAGGAGTCAGTGTGGCTGCATCATCTTTCATTTCACTGGCACTGAAGTTGTTATGTCGTGTAGGAGTTGGAATGCTCTGTTTTTGTTGTCTCTTTTAATATCATTTCTATGTGTGACACTGACTCTCGGGTCCAGCCCAGGCATTGATTCCTGCCAGGAAAGCCACGTTAGCTGATCCTGGCTGGGAGCAGCAGCCTGAGATGGGCAGAGCCCCAGGAGATCCCTGTCACTGCCTACCTGGCAGATGCAATAAGAGCCATTAGAATAGTTTGGATAGCTCCTCCTTACTTTCATTGCCGGCTTGCTTTTTTTTTATTCTTCCCTCCAGTACCACTTTTTGGAAAACGACTTCTCCTTTCCCTTGTCTGTGATCACATTGGTGTAACAGAATTGTCAGGGATAGCAAACTGCAAAGAATGGACCTTGCTGAGCCCTGACCTGGAGAAGTGAGTGCAGCTGAAGGGCTCTTTCAGGCCAGGAGAGCAAATCCTACTCACCAAATTTATCCTGAGTTAGTGCCCAGCCATGATCCTGGGGATTATGGTGCATCCCACCAAGTTCCCATCTTCTGAGCAAAGCTGGATTAGTTTTACTCTTCTGAGAAATGTTGTAGTAATGCAGATAGTTTGCTAAACTTTAGGGTGGGTAATAGGACATTTGCTACTCAGAATTGCCACAGCACTTCCATTTGGGTGTAGGATTGGTGGGGTTCTGCTCCAAGTTACAAGAGCACCTCAGTGCAGGTGTGGGAGCACTTGCTGTGCTTTGCAGCACTTGCTGGTTAATTCGAGAAGTTGATCTCTGAAAATGCCCTAAAGGCAGGCAGGGAAATTCTGCTCCTAGGTGCAAAAAACAGGAGGAGAGGAGCATAACTAAAAAAAAAAACCCTAACCAAACCAAACATAAAAAACCAAAACAAAATCAAAAACACCAAAACAAACAAAACCAAAACAAACAAAAAACAAAACGAACAAACAAAACCACAAAAACAAACACAAAAAATTATAGGAAAAAAAAAATCTGTACCAGTCTGTGTTCTTGCTGGGCTGAACTGGTAATCCCGCCCTTCTGGGGACCAAAATACTGGGATTGAAACAGAAAGTGAGACCCAGATGAATCATTTGATAAGGGAACCAGAGCTCTGAGTCATAATCTTCAGCCCAAAGTAAGCTTTGAACTCAGAGGTGCTCTTGACCAGGCTCAGGGAATAGCAAGGCTGGAGGATGCTGCACCCAAGCCAAGCAGTCAAAGCAAAGCTGAGGGTGCTGTGAGCTGGGGCACCAGGCAGAAAAATGCCATGAGAGCAGTCAGTCCCCACCCCAGGTGTCACCGGAGGGAGCAGTGACAGCAGTGCTAGCTCAATACCTGCTCCAGGGAAAAGGAGGCAGTATTTGAGCAGGAGATGAACGGGATTTTAACTTGAACACAGAGGGGACAATTGCTGCGCCCCAGCTGAATGTTCGTGAACACACCCTTGGGCTTCCAGAGGAACCTTGATTCATTTCAAAAGAATAAACATTAAAAGTAAAATTCCAGGCCACTACAAGAGTGAGTTATCCCTGTGAAGGGAAGAAGTATCTTAACAGCTAAGTGGGGAAGAGAAAATGTGAAAGATTAGAGGCAAAAGAGTATCTGTGAGTGGGTTCAGTTTAAAAAGTATCTGTGACTGGGTTCTGTATGCATCAAAACCCTTGCTCGTGATAAAAAGTGTCTGTAGTGCTCTAATGATTTGGGAAGAGTTCAGTTACCTGGCAGTTCATGTCCCTGGGAGCTTCCCCTTCTCCAAAGACAGACAGTGCAGGAATTCATGGCTTGCAAGTGGGATAACCCAGAGAATGAGTGTCACCCTTAGGTCTGGGGAGAGAGGAGGAGGGAGTTCTTGGCCTTTGTGTAGGCTGAAAGCAGATTAATATATCTCTGTACATATATATTTGTGTATATACATAAAGGAAACATTTTCTGTGACCAGAAAATGCAAATATTTAGGATTGGATGAAACAGAAACCAAATGTTTTTAGGTTAGAAATCGTCTGGCAAATGTCTGTGAAATTATCAGCTACAATTTTGCACATGGCTGACAAACAAAATGACAAACTTTCCCGGTGGTGTAGATTATTATTGCCAGAGAGAAGGGTCAGAATAAGAATGTACACTCTCAGTAAACAGTGGCCAAACCAATCCAGTAGGAGTTGCCATTGCTGAGCTGAGGACAGGGTTTGTATTGAACAAGCTTGCAGCTCCCATTGCATCCTCATTTATAACACTTAAAGTGTTGCTTGGAAACCTGTTTTTGTCCTTTTAAAATGGTAAAATAAATATCAGAGAAGGTCTAAAATATTTTATTAAAGGCTCTGATGAACTGGAGGAGGAGGACAGCTTTCCAAAATGCTGATGGGACATCATTAAAGGTGGCAGTCCATGCAGCTGATGCTCCTGCTACATTAGCAAATGCCAGTGTAAGGACAGCTTTGGTATTGAGTAATTCATAAATTGCTCGTGCTTGTACAGATTAGCCGGGATTGTGTCTAGCAGTGGGAGCCAAATGGTTTCCAAGTGCTTTCCTGCCTGCCCTGCAGTCAGCAGAGCATGAGCCAGATCCCCACGGGCCCCAGGAGCTGGGAATTCAAAGGCAGGAGCTGGGAATTCAAAGGCAGGAGCTGGGAATTAAAAGCAGGAGCTGGGAATTCAAAGCAGGAGCTGGGATTTCTTTCACTCCTGCGTGCTGGAGGAGCCAGAACTCCACTTCTCACAGGAGCATTGATGAGCTATTGTTATGCTAGAAATTTCCCAGACCAATCTTTCTGCAGCAATGAGCCTGTGAAAGCCAGGACAATGATACACTTCGGGCTGGTCCCAATCTCTTAATCGATCTCCCCTGTCTTGGTGAACAAAGGCCCAGCCTGACACAGACAGGTGAGGGCAGCACATCTGAATAGCCTGACACAAGTGAAATGACTGCAGCCCTATCTCTCTTTGTCAAGTGTGTGAGTGGTGTTAAACAGTAAAACCTGCCTGGGCTATAGCAGCATCAAACCCCAGGGCTTTGTTAGCTGCCTGAGGAGGAAAGGAAAAAAAGCAGAGTGCATTTGAATGCCTTACAGGCTCTGAGCCTGGAATAGTAAGCTAGAAATAACAAGATTGCTATTATATATCATAATGGCCAAAAGCTTAGCAGGAATCCAAAAGGATTACCATTTCATAGAGTCAGTGAGAATATGAGGAGTTGTTGCTGTTTCTTGAAACAAAAGTGGATTGAGAGAGCTATAAAGCCACCTGCTCTGTACATAAACAGTCCACGAGGGATGGGAGGTAGAAGGAGACTTGCCATTGGGAATTAGAGAATTCTGCATTGCAGGATATCCCAAAAAGAGGTCAGAGAATACCAGAATGGTTTGGGTTGTCAGGAAACTTAAAGCCCATCTAGTTTCAACCCCCTGCTATGGGCAGGGACACCTTCCACTGTCCCAGGATGCTCCAAGCCCTGTCCTACCTGGCCTTGGACACTGCCAGGGATCCAGGGGCAGCCACAGCTGCTCTGGGCACCCTGTGCCAGGGCTTCACCAGGTCATTATGTGGACAACAAGATACGAGGGAGGGCCAAAAAAAAAGTTATGTTCAAGATTATTTTTGGCCTAAACAGCTTTTTGCACCCTGAAACTGTATCCAAAGGCACCTGATACCATTGCCACCTGCTCATGCTCTCTTCCTCTGCAGCCACTGTTTGGCCCAAACAAACAATTCATGTTTCCCTTTGGTGGCTGAAGGAGAAAACATCTGCTTGCCAACATTCAGCACAATAAAAATTCATTCTAGACTGGATATTGCATTAGTTACTCAGAGTGACATGATTGAAATCTACTCTTTCACCAAAGTTTATCCTGATTTACTCAGTTAAACCAAATCACATGGCCAGCATCTCGCCCCCACAGTGGCTTTCAGTGGCCACTGTCCCTGCTGCTGGTGTGCCAGGAGCTGTGTTTGCTGGGACCCCTCAGCTGCGAGTTCCTGACTCTGCTCTACCCTTGTCCTTTTATTGCTGGACACATTCCTGGCGTTCAAGGCTCTGGGGTCTCTAATCTCACCTTTCTCTCTCTCTCCCAGTGTCTACCAGCTTGTTGTCAAGGAGGAGAAGCTGCAGAAAGCCCGGAGAGCTGCAGACATCATCGAGTGCTTCTCAGTGCCAGTGAGCTACAAGAATGCCTCCAGTCTGGACTCCCCACACTACTTTGCAGCCGAGCTGAAGCCCATCAACCTTCCTGTCACACAGCCCTTCACCGTGGGCGACAACAAGACCTACAATGGCTACTGGAATGCTCCTCTTTCCCCCCTGAAAAGCTACAGCATATACTTCCAGGCTCTTAGCAAGGCCAATGGAGTAAGTGCAGGGAAAAAATCAGCTGCATCTCTAGGTGTGACTGCCTCTCTCTGTCCTCATCATTCTCCTTCCTTCTCGATTGGATGCTGGTTTAACTTCTTCTTATTACCCTCTTACAGAAATCTGATGAAAATCAAGCATGCCATTACTTGTCCTTCACTCAAATCTCTCTCTGATGCTCAGATCCAATGAGAAATCTGCTGAGGACCCTGATTCTGTAAAGGCACATGTTGCCGTGTGATTTACTAAATGAGCTGCTTAGAACTTAGATACTTTTTTTTAATCTTTTATAAGCATGAATCTCAGAGTAGGGGCTATTGTGCTTTTAAAAGCCATAATTGCAGTATCTTGATAGTTCACAGTGCTTGTGATTTTGGAGGAGATGTTATGAATTTGGATTACCTTGGAGCTTGCACTTGGCCATATCATAGTGCAGCACCTGTGGATGGGAGTTTCAGCTTGAGGAAGTCAGCCACTGTCTGCATGTCTGTCCTACCCCTCTGCAGTGCTACATTTTTATATATCTTTACTCTGTGATACTGGGTTTAAAATGCAGACTGCACAGGAATTGTAGCCTGCTCCATTCTCAGACTCAAGTGACACACACAATGCCACAACACACCCCATCCCACCACAGGAAAACAGGAGGCCTCTCTTCCCTCTTCCCTTCCAGTTGAGGATAGCCTGTGACCTTTTACCTCTCCTGTTTCAGTGGATCATCCTCCTCCCCTTTGGCTCCCCAGCTGTTTTCTATAGCACAGGAGAATTTGCCACTCTGGCCTCCTGAAGAGGCTTAGAGCATTAACAAGGCATCACAAATTTGGGTAGCAGAGCCTGCTATTATTAGCATGTTTGCCAGTGCTTTCAGGAATTTAATTTTAACATAGATAAATTCTCTACGATATCACCCCTGAGACAGAAAAATTACAAAAATCAGTCAAAGGTGAACGGTGCAGGCTTTAGTGGCTTTTATACCTGAAATGCAGCTGCACATTGCAGAGCACTGGGATGGTTTCACAGGCTGGCAGTGCCAATGAGTGTTCACAACACATCTCAGTGCTTTACACCCTTCATTTATCACCACTTTCCTGCAGAGCTTCAGCTGTGTGGCTGACAAGTACAAAATCTCTTCAACACTGTGCTGGTTTTCACCTTGATTTCCTTTCTAGCCAATACAGTTTCCTTCCAGCACTGCTCAATTAATTCAGTTTTGGATTTGCCTTCATAAAAGAAAATGTGAATATATGTATATGTCTCTCTGTTTCTAGTTAGTTCCCCCATGTGTGATAGTTAATTGCTAGTGAATGGATCCCCAGGGAAGAAGGAACTTTTATTTGCTGAAGTACAATATAATATCATCTAAAAGGGTTGTGTGGATGGAAGTGTAGGCTTCCCTTAGTGTTCTGGAATCAGGCAGCACTGGTGTTCCTGCTTTTCCTGCACATCACCCTACATTCCAGGTGTTAAAAGGATGTCAAAAAAAGGATGACTTGCTTGGGCTGTCCTAACAGGAACAAGATTGTAAAGGGCTTTTTAAACATGGGTTTATCCAAAAGTCTTAATGCAACAGTGCACAGTTCATAACAGGATAAGAAGTGTCCAGCCAGACACAGTAAATTTCTATTTGAGAAAGCAATTTCCTCCTGTGGTAATAATTTATATTTCTACAGGAAATGCTTTATATATCCTCAAAGTGTAGTGCTGTAGGTAAAAGTATAGAGGAAATACCCAAGAGTGGAATAGGGATCTTCAGAGGAGTAGCTTCTGTTCTGATTTCTTCTGTTTCTTGGTAAAGTCATTAAACCCCACATTTCAAATACTAGGGTCAATTTGCATTCACTCTTTTGCAGCTGTAAATTGTAGGTTTTTGTTCCATCCCCAGAATTATTTGCAGGTATCATTTGTATTTAAGAGTTCTGGGTTTTCACTTGTCTGTAACATGAACAGCTTTGACTGGTCTTGGAAAATCCTACAAATAACTATGGCTGAAACATAGCATTTCCATGCCTGGAAGTGTCCAAGGCCAGGATGGATGGGATTTAGAGCAACCTGGGATAGTGGAAGGTGTCCCTGCCCATTGCAGGGCATTGGAACTAGATGGTCTTTAAGGTCACTTCCAACCAAAACCATTCCATGATTTTTGATAGGGCACATCTGCAAAAAACCTGCAACAATAACAATTTAGCACAGTTAAAGTAGAGCCTTATGTTCCCTTACACATGAAAAAAATTAACAGAACATTGCCACTCATTTTTTAATTAGGATATTCTATAGTTTCATTAATCACTGACAGTTGTGGAACGATGAAATTTCTTTCCCCACCTGGAAGCTGCAATGAGAAGCCTTCATGCAGTGAACCAGAACATCTTCCTTTGGAAACAGAGGGCTCTGGGTAGAGCTTAATTTGAAGAAACAGCCTGGATTTGGTCAAAAAGCTTGATTAGGAGGAGGTTAGTAGTGTTGTAGGAATCCTGCATTGTTTGAGCTCCTCTGTACGTGGAGGGTTGTGCTCATTTGGTGTTCCCGTCTGCTCTGCAGCCATTAGCTCTGATTGTTACACTGAAAGGAACATAATTAACAGCTGGATGCAAAACAAGTGTGGCAAATTGCTGCAGAAGCAGATCAGGAGCTCTTCTGCCTTCTCTCGTGCACGGTGGTGCTTGTCTGAGAGTCGGAATGAAGAAGCTGTCGCTGGCTGGGTCCCTCTCCTGAGCTCCTGGGTGCAGTTTGGTCACCGAGGTGCTGCCTGCAGACAGGAGTCTGAGCACAGCATGGGGAGACTGAGTGGTTTGCAGCTTTGTTATACAAAAGGTTTTCCAAATCGTGTGAACTTCCCTCCTAGGCACTGCTGACAGCCAAATGCTGAGGTGAAATGTGGCAGAGTTTCAAGTGAGAGAGGGGAGAAAGGGAAAGGGGACACAGAAACTCCAGCCTTTGTGGCTGTGGGAGTGAGAAGCACCATTAGTTATTGTTTAGTTGATAGAAGGAGTCAGCACAAGAGGTGGCACAGAAGCAGAGGGGACATTTGGCTTGGCTCTGCTCTGGCAGGATCTCCAGACACTGTCACAGCCATCCAGGTAGGGATCTGCTGTTTGCTGCTTGTCCTGGTGCCACCTGCTACAGATGGCTGCCTGACAGAGCATGAAGATTGGCTTGTCTGAAAACCTTCCCTGAGCTCAGCCCCTTTAAAACTCCAGCCCTGCCAGTACTTTTCCCTCTGGAAGGTGAGGCCAGCTTGACAGCCCTGTGTTACTCCTTATCCTCCCTTATCCTTGCACTGGCTCAGTAATCAAAGGGAGATGCTGCAGGTTTGATTGTCCCCAGGTCTTTATCTGGCTCACTGCAGGTCTCTGGTTGCTGATCCAGCACCACGCTCCAATGGGGAGAATTCTTGTCTGCTGTGTGAAACCTGCCTGAATTTTTGAGCAGCTCAGAAACCAGACTCCTTAAAAAAATCCTTTCTGGAGCAGCATTTTACCTCGTTGAGTTAAAATGAAATCTGTAACAGCACAGTTGCAATCAATAACTCTTGGCCATTTTTCCTTGAAATGGGAGATGAGCAGGAGCCTGTGTAACACAGCTGGGAGGGATGGGGGGATGCTGCCAGCTGCTCTGCCAGCCTGGTGGTCCAACAGGTGACTGATGTCTTCAACCCAGAATTGTGAAAAGTAGCACTGCAGGAATCAATGAGAATATTATTTTTTTTTGAGGGAATGATAGACTCTACCGAAATTCCTATCGATTTTTTTCCTCTCTAATGACTTGTACTACATGCACAATCGGGCAGCTCATTATTATCAGGGGACTTGAGGCTGGATTTCTTGATGCTGACAGGTCTGCTCACAGCACACAGCATTATTCTTCTGGGACAATTTGGAGGTATGGACAGAGCTGCCAGCAGAGATGCCATTCATCCCTGTGGAGATGGCCATGAAAAAAACAAGGAGGTGTTTGAGTTCAGCACGAGCCATGCTCTGAAAGATGAGATGGCACCAGGGCTGCCTGCATCACTTCTGTGAGCTGCTGACCAGTTTTGGGGAGCTCTGTGTTCAGGAGGATTTTGGGTGTACAGTTTATCTTTATCCATTTACATTCGCTCCTTCTTAATCTTATCTTGGAGGTGCTGGCACAGAAATAAAGCAGCTGTGGGAACACTTCACTCTTTGTACTCCCCTGTTTCCACATTTGGTTGACCAGAGGATGTGGACCTGAGTGTTTCCTGCATAATAAATAAAATCATCCTCCATCCTGTCTCATTTTTGAGAGGAGTGGGTATCCAATCATCAACTACAGATCACTGAAATAACTTCCTATTGTAAATTATAAAAGCCCTAACCACTTTGTTAAACCTCCCTTCTCCAAATGACACAGATACTAAAAAAAAAGCTGATAATTGGAATAGCAATATTAGGTTTGGCTCAGTCTCTGGAAGGAAATAGCAATTTCCTGAAGCTGGCAATAAAAATTATAGGGGAGTCTATTGACCCTGCACAGACATATTTTAAGACTGCAAACCACTGGCTGCAGTGAGATCGAAAATAAACACACAATTTAGAGCTCTCCTAAAGTTGGGCAAAATTTGTTGAGGACCAAAAAAATAATTCCTTAAGATTGGACAAACCCATTGGTTTCTACTGTGTGTTGCCAACAAGTTCCATGCTCAGCTCTGGGATGTTGGGAACCAAAGCTGGAACTGAGGCCGAGGAGAGAGTGGTGATTCCTTTTCTGGTCCCTGCACCAAATAAAATTGCCTGTTCCCAGCTGGAGCTGCCTGAAGCCTCTGCCTGTTGTGGGGCTGCCCCAATGGCACATCTGGGGACAGCAGGTCCTGCTGGTGCTGGCAGGTGGCTCTTCAGGCAAGGCAAGCTCTGTCTGACTGCTGCAGAGTCATAATCATATTAAAGGGAAGGGAAAATGGTGGGTGTGAAAACAGATGGATGAAAAAGCTTTGCTGCTTTCATTGTTGTTCATAGTCTGTAAACAGCAAGCTGTCAGTTTCAAAGAAAAGGGGGAAAAAAAAGATCATGTGGCTTTTTAAGTTGTGAAGACACAGCTGTCACATAAACATATGTCCTGCTGCCCTCGTAGCCCTTTTCTGCAGAAAATTATTCCCATCCAAACACTGAAGAGATAGAGGCAGAACTTGTCTTATTATCATCCATTTCACTTGAGTGAAATGTGCATTTAGGAACCTCAGTAATTAGTAGATAGCAGCAGCTCCTTTGCTTCTAAAATGAAAGAATAAAGCTGTATTAAAAGAATGTTTTAAAAAGCCCTGGAAATTCAGGGGGGTGCTAAAGCAGGCTCGTTGCAGGTGTGCAGTTTGCAGGCTGTGGCAGGAGCTGTGTGTAGCTGTGGAAAGGGGTTTTAACCCTTTAAGTGCGGCAGAAATAAGATGCACAGCTCCATGGTCGTCTGTCATGATAGAAAGAAAGAGCCAAGTTTATTCAGAAACACTCTTGGTTTTATAGCATGGCTGCAACTCCCAGAGTAGAGAAAAGGTGATTGGTTCAGAGAGAAGACACCCCATTGCCAGGGCCTGGGCACACACCACAACAGGTGTTCTATCTTTGTTATTAATTCCTTTTTATTTTGACCAAATTATCACCTGGGAGAAATTCTCCCTAGCCTTGAGCTGGACCAGCTCATGGGCTGGGAACAGAGCTGAGAAGCTCCAGTCTGGAATATTTTTCATGCTGTAATTTTCTTGCTTTCTCAATATGTGTCCCACACTGTGGGGCACAGAGGGCTTGCCCAGCTCCTCAGCACAGGACTCTGTCCACAGGGTCCCCAGCTCGTGCTGATGGCAGGTGCAGGTTCCCCTCCAGCACAGGCTGCCAGCACCCTAAAACACAGTGCTCATATGTGTCCATGGTGTGGGGACTTAAAAACAGAGCCAGGCTTCAGCCTGGAGTGAAGGGTGCACCATCATCTGTTTTTATTCGTAGGTAAGTAAGTTCCAGAAAACAAATTTCCATCAATATGTTGGGTTAGATGTGGATGGGCTTATTCTGCAGGATTTCAGGATATGGAGCATGTTGGAAAGTGAGGGTTGGATGAAGAGCTGCAGGATGTAGTCACGAAGTGTTCTCCTATTCCAGGATCTCAGTGAAAATGTGCCTACATTACTCCATTACTGCTTGGCTGTAAAACATCTGTCTTAGCCTGGCAGTGATGCAGAGTTGAAGCAGTAGTGGCATCTTAATTTAAGTTACTCCTCTGAGTTTAGCCCATAACATGAAACAGATATGCAGAATATGTTGGCTCTGTGTTTATCATTAAGATTGTTGTAGATATGTAAGGCCTTGTAAAACTTCTGTGATACCATAAAATGGGAATTAAGTATCACAGCATTTGAAAGAATGTTCAGAAACAACACAGAGACTGTGTTGGGGTTTTATTCTAAAACTTCTATTATTATCTCTTTATTTAATTATTTTTCTTGCCACTGCTTTAAGCAATTTAGATGGATCCTTGATAATTACCTACACTGTTTATTCCTGCTTTGCTGTTGGCTAGAGAGAAGCACCTTTCATTGATAGGACAAGAAGTAGAGTGTACAAATTGAAAGATGGGAAATGCAGCTTAGGAAAAAAAAAGAAAAATAAAAGCATTGTCCCTGCCTATGGCACTTTAAGGTACATTCCAGCCCATTAACATTCTGTGATCTTCACTGTGTACAGGAAATCGCCTTGAAGCAAAAGCAGTGTTTTTCTGAAAACAAACATGATTGTGGGAAAATAGGTGTAATGTTTTTAGGGGGATGATTGAGTTGGGGGGGGGGTGTTTGCTTTTTTGGAGGGGAGGAATGTATTTGTTTATTCTGTTTCTTCTTTAAAAGATTCATGCAAACTTACAATTCTCAGTATCAACCAAAGAAAAACAGAGTAAAATTGAAAGGGATCTCATTTTTATGAGGCACCAAAGAGATGAGCAGTGGGGTGATGAGTGGAAAGCAACAGAATTCAGACCCTAATTCAGAATATGGACTAAATTCAAGTCTTTAAACTTCAGCATCCTGAGAGCTGGGAGCCTGGTGTCTGTGCAGGTTCTCTCACACTTTCCTTCCCAGAAGATGCAATTTGAAATGAAGTTCTGAAGTCCACGTCTTGTTCCTCTAGCCTTCACTTTTGGCAGTGCCAGCTCTCCTAAGAGCTGTGCTTGTGCTCAGTGCAGCCATCAGTAGCTGCAGATGCAAACAGAACAAATTCTGTCTTCCCAAATCACCCCGTGGGAGGGTCTCAGGCAGGAATACACACACGTTCAAATGAGATCACTCTAGGCTCTTCTTTTTCCAGCACTGACTAATTTCTCCAGCTTTCTGGTACATTCTGAAGCCAGCAGAAAGCGACAAATACACGAGAAAATGTTCCTCAACAAAATGTGAGCAAGTGTCCACCTACTTGTAGACTGCAAAAATCTTTTCTCTTAATTTTTTATTTTACTCTTCATTGCTGATTTTCCCGGTCAGCTTGCTGCATATCAGAAACTACATCAGGATCTCTTTGTCTTCTGGTTCCACCACGATGTGCAGAGACAGCTCTGAAAACAAAGCTGTGTTTTTCGTGCTTCCTACATCACAAACAGCAACAAAGGCTTTGGATTTCCAGAATAACTGGCAATTCCAGCTCGACACCCACGAGGCAGAGTTCTGTGTGCTGCTGTGGTGACTTTGCAGTGCCAGTGTTGGTGCAGCCTGTGCAGGGGAGCTGATTTTTGAGGGACAAAGGGGTGTAACCAAAGAGATGTCCCTGGTTTGCTGGGACAAACAGCCCCACTCTGGAGCATCTGTGGCTGGGAAATAGATATGGCTTGTCCTTGAGGATCCAGGAATTCCTAAAGGGAGTTTGAAGGCAAGGTCAGAGGGAGGGTTTATCCTGAGTATCTTGTTGTTTTTAGACTTCACACAGGGTGGCTTATATCCAGATTGTGTGGCATAACAGGAAGAGATCAGAGGGAATTGCTCCTGTGATTCTGCAATCTTCCCCTTCCTATGTGCAGCAAAGGTGTGAGGAGAAAGGCACAGTGGGGCTGTGTGTGTCTGCTCCAGACATGGGGGATTTGGCACAGATGGAGCAATTTTCTCCAAGAGCAAATTCACATTTCCACAAGGTTTGTCCAGTGGTTTGAGGATGGAGGGAAGTGCTCAGCAGTGCTTTGCTGGGCTGTTATTTCCAGAGCACAGACAGCATCCATATTAATGGAGCATTGTTAGCACAGTAATTGATGCTGGATTCATTACACCTGAGATGTGTAGAGGCATAAAGTGGCTCTGCAAGCCCTGCTGCAGATTGGAGCCTGACAGAGGCAGCTCTTTAACCAAGCAGCACATTCCTGTTTGGATGGCAATCACAGGCTGGGCAGCAGCAGCCCCTGCCAGGAAGGGCTGTGCACTGAGGAGCTGGGGACTCCACAAAGGCTGTGCTTGCAGCAGAGGTGGCCTGAGAAAGCTGCCGAATTTGAGCTGTTTGTGAAGCCAAACACAACATTCAGATCCAAATCCTGTTTCTGCAGCTCTGCAGGCTCCAGGGTGGATTGAACACAAAGCATTGGGTTTTGTCCCAGCTCTGCAATGAGGAGCTGCAGTGGTGAGGGTTGTTAGAACAGCTCGTTTGGCACAGGCAGCAGCACAGAATGTTGGTCTGCTCCACATCCATCAGAGAGCTGAAATATTCAAATTACTTCTTTGGTGTCTGTTTGCCATGTGTTTAAATAAATACCCAATTTGCAAAATTTGCAGTAATGGTGCATGAAAATGAGATGTACAGTGGCGTGTACTTTTGACCCAAGGCTTGTCAGTCTATTACAGAGCAGGTCATTTAACTGGGAAATTCTATTAGCTAATCAGGCACTTACATGGGACCCATCACTCACACATGGAGCGTGGAGAAACGTGCTGTCACTCCCAACTTTAACAACTGTAGGCAAGTCCAATGGTGTGGAGTATTTTATGCAACAAAAACTGTTGGTGGTATTTTCAATGATGAAGTGTAAGAAAAGATACATATACTTTTAAAAGGAATGTATGTTTATTGTAGATGGGCAAATTACACACTGTGATGTTTTCCTATATATTTTTCTTGTGTTTTTTTTATTTTTCAGGAAACAAAAATCAACTGTGTCCGGCTGGCAACAAAAGGTATGTGGGTCTCTCTTTCCTGCAAAACACAATACCAGAAATGTAAAAACTGCAGTGGTGGCACAACTTGATTACAGTTCCTAGCCAAAGAACCAGCCTCTTTATTTCCTCTTTTATTTTTTGAAAAGGAAGATTGACAAGGCAGAACAACAATTTCCAGGACCACTCCACTGTATTTGTGGCCTCTGTTATTTTTTTTTTAACGCAGGGTATAATTCTCTGTGGTGCCTCCTTCTCCTCGTTCTGTTGACAGCTTTTCTGTCCTGAGGACTGTTCTTGCTGTTGGCAGAACATCACTGAAAAAGTGACATTAACTTCCTATTCAATTTGTTCTCTCCACAACTGTACAAAGTAGATAAGAGAAGATCTCACATAAGCCTAACCTTGTTTACAGCAGGGCACAATTCTTACATCACGCCATTTTCATGGTATAATTGAACAAACTAAGAGACAGCATTCCTGGTTTTCATTGTGGTGAGCTCAGAACAGACCGAGCTGACAGGTCACACAGGGCAAACCCAAGACAAACAGCCCCAGGTTGGTTCACAAGGTGTAGCTCTTGAGGGACCAACAGTGACAATGTCTGAGCTCCTGCTTAGAGTTTACAGCTGCTTTTAACAACTCTTCTAAAGATTTCAAAATCACCCCAGGGGCTACTTTTCCAGAAAAAGATGTCAGACACGAATTTATTTGTAACACAGAGTAGCTGTAAAGATTTCCCCAACAAGTGTTGCAGTCTGCAAAGGGAAATGCTGGGGTATTGCCATGGGCTGTGCTACAGATGATTCTCCATTCCCAGACTTAGCTTTGCCAGCTTGTGCTCTTGCTTTGCTGCCATGTGAAATACCTGCATGGCTGCCTGTGGAGGCTTTGAGAGTTCACCAAAATTGGCAGGAACACAGAAATCCTTTGCAGCTCCATCCCGTTTTTTCCGTTCTTTTCCATCTGTTTTGACCTGTGGCAGAAGTTAATGACTTCAAGGTCCTTTCTCCTGATCCCTTCTGCATCTGTGCTTGCAGGGGAGTTGGGAGGGCTCAAAAAAACCCCATTAACCATTGGAGAGCATTTTCCATCTCCCTGTGGAGACATCCCCAGGCTGTCAGAGCCAGCCAGGCACTGGGGGGCAGGTGCTGTGTGGAGTTGCCACCTGTGCAGCAGTTTTCCCTGCTCAGATTTGGCCATGTGGGGCTGTAAGCAGTTGTGTCACCACTGAAAGCCAAGGAGGAGGAGCCCATTTTCCCATTTCTCCTTCTCATCTGTGGCTCTGGTGCTCCCCATACCCTCTTGTTCCTTTCCTGTTTAAAAATTCCTTGTAAAATCTTTATTTAATTCATTCTCTGGATTACAAACATTCTATGTGTCTCAGTCTGTGTGTCTCCTTCCTCTCAGTTTTCTCAGCTGGTAGTAATGTGGCCATTTCAAATACCTGATTTTGGCTTTCTGGTGGTAGAAAGAGCAAGAGCAGGACTGGGTGAAATGAATCTCCCCAAGCTTTTCCAATAGCATAGTCTCTTCATGAGATCAGGGATACTGGATTAATTAAATTTTGGAAACCTGTAGTTCCTTCCATTTCAGTTGTTCATTTTTCTGGAGCTGGTGGAAGAATGTTGCCATGCTAGCAGGAAAGATATTTGCTCTGTGATTATTCAAAACAAAATAACTTAGACAGCTTGGAAAATCCCATTCTAACATGATCTTTTATTTGCACTCTCTGATTTGGGTACCTCAGTGAAGTGTCCCCTTAAGTGTTTGACGTTCAGTTGACTTCTGCAAACGGAGATAATCTTCATTAACCCTGCTAGGTCACCAGGAAGAGTCACTGAGCCACCCAGTCAATGAGCCCCTCCTTCTGCTGGTTCTGAATGTCATGTCTTTTAAAAAAAGAATCTCTTACTGGGTTTAATTTAATAAGAGATACAAAAGAAATGAGTAGAGCCTGAGGATGTCTAGAGCCACTGCTTTTTGGTGATCTTATTATTTAGGTTTTTTTCTTTATTGACTTGAATGGAAAAGGACAAGAAATGATGGTAGTTCTAGTGTTTATTCTCACTGTCTCAATTCATATCACTTTTGATTCATATCACTTGTGATTTATATCACTTTTGATTCATATCACTTTTGATTTATAGGTAGATATCTTATTCCTCAGTGTGGAGTGCAGAGATCTCTGTGGAAATGCTTTTCCTCTTGCCCTTGCTCTGAATTGCAATGCTGCAATTCCCATGCCTGGCCCTTAGCAGGGAGGCTGGAATACCCCAGCTCTGGCTGGTGTGAGGCAGGTTTAGCTCTCCAGAGGAGCAGGCAAGGGAGCACCATGAGCTGGGGTGGTGGCAATGTCACAGGACCTGCCACTGCTGGCACCTGAACAAAGTGCTTCTGTGAGCTTTCCCACAGGTTCAGGTTTTCCCAGCATCCATTAACTCCATGTGGATTAAGGGACCAGCCCCTGCAAAGGGATGTGGTACTTGCCCTCTCTGTGCAGTGGGACAATGCACAGAAACGCTCATAAAACTGTAATTACACCATGGCCTCATCAAAGGCTGATAGCTGGAATGTTCTAGATGACCTCCTGTGTCTGTGCTGTCTTCTGTCTGCTCATTATACTGATTATCCTTAATGGCATTGCTCTCTATTCCCTTTATTTGCATTGGTGTTTTTCTGAGGATAGAACCTGAAGTCTGCCTTGAACAAAATCAACAGAGCTGCCAGTGAGGATGCCACTGTGGTGTCTTTGGTAGGAATCAGGAAAAAAAAAAACCAAAAAAACAAACATTTTTGGAGCCAGGATTAATCTCAACATTAAAAGCTCTGCTTTGAGTTGGTTCCAGATGAAAAAAAAAATTTTGATGCAAGAAAATAAATACATACTAGTGGTGCCAGACTAAATGTTCATTTTGGAAGAGAGGCCTAATTTTCCCATTCCTAGACATTTGTCACTGCAGCAGCTCCATTAGCACCAGTGAAATGAGTTCTGATTTACAGCAGTGACAGGAAGATTAGGATCGAGGCGTGTTTAAGCAAGGCAAGAATTCTCCTGAAGTACTGGATTAACAAGGGCACTAAACGTGAGTGTGGGAGTAATTAGGCAGTGAAATGTGTTAGGCATGTGTTACTGGGGGATTGTAACACATCCTGGGTGTTGCTGCAAGGCACCTGCTCAGAAGCTGAGTCTCTTTAATTACTTGAGAGACACACAGGGCTGTTCCACCGCCTCTCCTTCAGCTGCCTGAGAGTTTTTCTGTGTCCCATTGCTCCAACACCAAGAAAAAGAAAGCAGAGAATGCTTTAAAAGTGGTTTAATCCACTACAAAAAAAAAAAAAAAAGTTTTGGAGCTTTTCCAGCTTTCTTCTCTCCTATTTAGGTACAAATAGGCTGCCTAGATGAGCCCTTTTCAGCTCAGCCCAGCTCTGTGCTGGTTCTCTGTATTCTGCTCCTGGTTAGATGAACTTGATTGGCAAGGAAAAGCTCTCCAACCCTTTTGCACTGGGTTATTAAATGTTGGGAGAGGGGATGGCATCAGCGTTGCAGAGCAGCAGGTGCCCCAAAGCAGAGCCACAAGGTCCCCAGGACATCCCCTGAGCTCATTTCCCTCCATCCAGTGCCTCCTGTGAAGGCTGGGTGCTGCCCTTGCTGGGGTGACCCTGGGTGATCCATCAGAAAACTCCCTGCCTTCCTCCACTCTGTGTAGCCATCCCACACTTTGCCAGCATGTCCAACATTATTAACCTTCTGTATCTACGTGTGTATTGATTTTCAGATTCGTTGGTGTCAGATCTCTCACCATGTCCCTCCTCACATGGGCTACTCTATCTTTTATTTTTTTTTAATTACTGGACTAATGTTATCTTTCACAGCATTAGGCACTTGGATGCATCTCATTAACATAAAACACTCTTTTAAAATGTTTATAATTAAACCCCAATTTACCAGCTCTCTGCCATACAATTTTCATTCAGATGGGTTATTTATAGGTTTTGCCATTTGGTTTCCTTGACAGCATTTGTTTTAATATGTCCCATTCTTTCTGAATTAACTGACTTGTTCTCTCTGTCTTAAAGCAACATATTTATATCGACACTTTATTAGAGAAAATTGCAACCTCTTACCGAGAGAGAGCGATTACCTCTTGTATTCCTAAAGTGCATTAAATTAATTTCACAGTGTAATTGAAACCAAGGCAGAGGGCTCATTAATGGTTCCTTATCTCCCGATACTCATTTCTTCTTTCCTCAAAATGTGAGTTCTTGCAAATGAAAGAATGGAACTATAATAACCATTATAAGGTACATTTTTTCTTTTTTTTTTTTTTTT